AGGTAGCTGATAGAGCAGGAACACTGCTGACAGAGCATGTCAGACTACAGCTTGAAGGCTTGGGGACCTGTATCCATCCCCTTCCCTTGAGTCCAGCCTAATCACAGCAATAGCATGAATCTACGACCGGGAAGGACATTTAAGGATATCTGGCCCAACTCTACCCCACTTAACAATGGGATCACCTCTGCTTGTTTGAATACCACTACGGATGGGGAACTGGCTGCCTTTGAAGGTTGCCTAACTCTTTTTTTTTTTTTTTTTTTTTTTTTTTGAGACAGAGTCTCACTCTGTCGCCCAAGCTAGAGTGCAGTGGTACGATCTCACTGCAACCTCTGCCTTCAGGGTTCATTCTCCTGCTTCAGCCTCCCAAGTAGCTGGGATTATAGGCCTGTGCTGCCAAGTCTGGCTAATTTTTGTGTTTTTAGTAGAGACGGGGTTTCACCATGTTGGCCAGGCTGGTCTAGAACTCCTGAGCTCAGGTGATCCACCCACCTCAGCCTCCTAAAATGCTAGGATTACAGTCCTGCCACCATGCCCAGTGAAGGTTGCCTAATTCTGTCTCAGGGCAGATCCTTCATGTGGGCTGAAATCTGTCTTTCATACCTGCCCTTAAACAAGCTTCTGTTTTTCTGGTCCTTTCTATCTGAGGTGACTTTAATTCCTCCCCCAGCCCCATTGCATGAGGCTCAGCTCAGGTGTCTCCTTTCCTTCAAAGTCCTCTCTGATGGTTGGGTGCAGAAGCTTATGCCTGCAATCCCAGCACTTTGGGAGGCCAAGGTGGGAGGATCCCTTGAGCCCAGGAGTTCCAGGCCAGCCTGGCAACATAGCAAGACCCTCTCTCAATAAAAAATTAAAAATTAGGGCCGGGCGTGGTGGCTCACGCTTATAATCCAAGCACTTTGGAGGCCAAGGCGGGCGGATCACCTGAGGTCGGGAGTTCAAGACCAGCCTGACCAACATGGTAAAACCCCATCTTATTTAAAAAAAAAAAAATTAATTAAAAAAAGAAAAAAAAAATAAAAATTAGGCCAGGCACAGTGGCTCACATCTGTAATCCCAGCACTTTGGGAGGCCGAGGCATGTGGATCACGAGATCAAGAGATCCTGGCCAACATGGTGAAACCCTGTCTCTACTAAAATACAAAAATTAGCTGGGCGTGGTGGTGAATGCCTGTAGTCCCAGCTACTCAGGAGGCTGAGGCAGGAGAATTACTTGAACCCGGGACGCAGAGGTTGCAGTGAGCCGAGATTGCACCACTGCACTCCAGTCTGGTGCCTGGCAACAGAGCAAGACTCTATCTAAACAAAGAATTTTTTTAATTAGCCAGGTGTGGTGACTTGTTCCTGTTGTCTCACCTACTTGGGAGGCTGAGATGAGAGGATCTCTTGAGCCTGGGAGGTGGAAGCTGTAGTGAGCCATGATCATACCACTGTACTCCAGCCTGGGCATCAGAGTAAGACCTGTCTGAAAAAAAAAACCACAAAAAACAAAAAACAAAGTTGTCCTTGAAATGCGATCCTCCACCCATCTCCCGACCTCTACCCCAGGCCAACCCCTCTTCTGGAATCACACTGGAGACTGGGCCCAGAATCTTACAGTCATCTTGGAAATCCTTCAGATTTTGCCTCCAACTCTCTCTTTCCATACAAATTACTTATTAACTCAATCAATGCTTATTGGTTGCCTACTGAGTTTCTAGGACCCAGCTGAAGGCCTGGGCTGCTAAGAGGGGTAAATGGAATCCTGCTATGACTGGAACCAGGCCTAGGGACAGCATCAGCTCTAGAACCCAGGGAGCAAGTGGCAGGAGCAATCCCAGGTAGTCGGCCTTCAGCCCAGCACAGAGCTGGTGTGTCGGCTTCAGAAAATCCTAGAAACAGCTCTCCTGTGTTTGGAGCTCCTATTCTGTGACAGGTGTTTTGTAGGCTTTGCTCCATTTAATCCTTACAACAACCCCATAGGACATATTATTAATGATCCCCTTTTCTCAGACTGGAAAACTGAGGTTCAGAGAGGTTAAGTAATTTGCCCAAAGTCACACAACCACAACCTGTAGGGATTGGAATTGTGAACTCAGGTCTGTCTGAATTTTAAAGCCTGGATTTTTTCACATTTGCTACATGCCTGGGGAAAACCATGTATTAACAATGAGGTATTCTATACTCTCATTAATTTCTGGTCAATTACTCCTATGAGCCTGGGTTTCCTCACCTGTCAAATAATGAGACTGGCCTCTCTTCTATCAAAAGAGAAAAGGGAGGCTGGGAAACACGGTATCCCTGGAATGGTCACTCCCTGTCCTGGGTCCTTTGACACTGGCCAGGAGGAGCCCTCACACACTGCCTCTAACTCCTGGCCTCTGATTGGCCTTTCCTGGCCTCGCCCTCACCTGGCACAGCCTCTGCCTGGGAGGCCTTTAAGTGGCTATTCCGAGAATGAAGGCAATTCTTGAAATTGCAGAATTTTTGGATATGAAAGGATCCCGCCCAGAATCTTCCTCTTCTGTCTCCATCCCCTTTCCTAAACCCTTTTTTTCTTCTGGTTGCATGCAATGTCTGTTTCCCCATTTTGGGGGGATCCCCCTGAGAACTAGAGAAATCACTGACCTCTTTCCCACTCTGGGACTTACAGAATCGGCCCTGTCCGGCTTCTATGACTCAAGACTCCCGACTCCTTGCAGAGAACTGAGAAACTCACTATGGGACTGTCTATCTGTTTTGTAAACAACTGATTCTCTTCCACCTCCCCCTTCCTCAAAGGCCACCTCACAGATAGAGTAGTACATTTTAAAATTTCAGAATCACTCTGAGTTTTACCTTTTTTGAGACAGGGTCTTGCTGTGTCACGCAGGCTGAAGTGCAGTGGTGCAATCACTGCAGCCTTGACCTCCTGGGCTAATTTTTTAATTTGCTGTAGAGACGGGGTCTCGCTATGAGGCCAAGGTTGGTTTCAAACTCCTGTCCTCAAGTGATCCTCCTGTCTCGACCTCCCAAAGTGCTGGGATTATAGGCATGAGCCACCATGCCCAGCCCCAAAAGTGATTTTTTTAAACTAGAATCCCTTAAAGTTAATGCTGACAATAATCGTCATAGCTACCATTACTGATGATCTACCTTAGGGTCTTAGGATTTTCCCGACTTCATCTTTCCCATAGCACTTTTGTGATTGATTTCTGCTGTCCGTGCAAACTATACCATATTTATTATGCTATATTTACTTGGCATTTAAAAACTACCTCCTTACCCTTTTCACTCAAATGTACTTAAAAAAGAAGCTACAGCGCACAACCACCAAAAATGGAAAACCACGGTCATGTGTCATAAACAGAAAAACCACCAAAAATGGAAAACCTCAGTCATGTGTCATAATTAGAAAATAACTTCAGGCCAGGCACAGTGGTTTATGCCTGCAATCCCAGCATTTTGGGAGGCTAAGGCGAGTGGATCACCTGAGATCAGGAGTTTGAGACCAGCCTGACAAATATGGTGAAATCCCGTCACTACTAAAAACACAAAAAAATGTAGCCAGGCATGGTGGCAGGCACCTGCAATCCCAGCTACTCGGGAGGCTGAGACAGGAAAATCGCCTGAACATAGAAGGCGGAGGTTGCAGTGAGCCAAGATTGCGCCACTGCACTCCAGTCTGGGCAACAGAGTGACACTACATCTTAAAAATAATAATAATAGGCTGGGCACGGTGGCTCACACCTGTAATCCCAGCACTTTGGGAGACTGAGGCCAGCAGATCATGAGGTCAGGAAATCAAGACCATCCTGGCCAACATGGAGAAACCCCATCTTTACTAAAAATACAAAAATTAGCTGAGCATGGTGGCGGGCATCTGTAGTCCCAGCTACTCGGGAGGCTGAGGTAGGAGACTCGCCTGAACCCAGGAGGCAGAGGTTGCAGTGAGGTGAGATTGTGCCACTGCACTCCAGCCTGGCAACAGAGCAAGACTCCATCTCAAACAAATAAATAAATAAATTAAATTGAATAAAGAAATTAACTGTAAAGGCTGGGCATGGTGGCTCATGCCTATAATTCCAGCACATTGGGAGGCTGAGGCGGGTAGATTTCTTGAGGTCAGGAGTTCAAGACCAGCCTGGGCAACACAGTAAAACCCTGTCTGTACTAAAAATCCAAAAATTAGCTGGGCATGGTGGCAGGCATCTGTAGTCCCAGCTACTCAGGAGGCTGGGGCAGTAGAATCTCTTGAACCCAGGAGGTGGAGGTTGCAGTGAGCTGAGATTGGACCACTGCACTCCTGCCTGGGTGGCAAGAGCAAAACTCCATCTCCAAAATAAAAGAAAGAAAGAAGGAAGGAAGGAAGGAAGGAAGAAGGAAAGAAAGAAAGAAAAAGAATTTAATTGTAAAAAGAAAAACCGAAGTAGTTAGTCCCAGCCACTCGAGAGGCTGAGGTGGGAGGATCGTTTGAGCACAAAAGTTCAAGGTTGCAGCGAACTGTGATTGCACCACTGCACTCCAGCCTGAGCAACAGAGCCAGATCCTGTCAAAAAAAAAAAAAAAAAAAAAAAAAAAAAAAAAAAAAAAAAAAGAAAAAGAAGAAAAAGGAACACTTAACTAAAGCATTATTAAAAGTTCATCCATGTAGGGCCGGGCATGGTGGCTCACGCCTGTAATCCAAGCACTTTGGAGGCCAAGGCGGACGGATCACCTGAAGTTGGGAGTTCAAGACCAGCCTGACCAACCTAGTGAAACCCCATCTTAAAAATAAAAAATAAATAAATAAATAAATAATTTTTAAAAATTTCATCCATGTACTACTGAAGAGGGAGACCCAGGCATCTCAGATCAACTTCATTCCTAAGACTGTAAACTGAAACCCTTTTCATACGTAATTCCTAAGACTGTAAACTGAAACCCTTTTCATATGTTAAGCTATAAACCTAAGCTTCTTCCACGTGTAACATCTAAAGTATAAGCCTATACAAAGAAGGAACCTTCCTTTGTTAGGAGAGCTTGGCTATCAGGCAAATATGCCACCTGGCTCCTGGCCGAATAAACTCCTTCCTCCAATATTTGGTGTCCTAGAGATCCGTTTCCCGCAGGCGCTCCTGCTACAGTACCTATGATGACCTTGACCTAAGAGTCACAAGTGCATGTGTGCTAACCTACCCTGCGTTAGCTAAACTGACTCCATTTCTAGATGAGGGCCAGACAGGCTCCATCTTAGCCTCTCCCCTCCCTGCCATTTGTCCCTCAGGTGCACAGCTGGGTCACGCTGTACCCAGCACCTTGTAATGGTTGTAACCACATCTGGCTTGGCAAGTCCCCAGCTGTTGTGTACCCCCCTGGTAACCAGCAATCATGGGGACCACTGTGTATGCCCTCCTTAGTAATCAACAATCATGAGAACCACTTGCTTCCTGGTGACCAGCTCCCCACTCCCCTGCCCCCAAGTTGCTTGTTCTGCTTCTGTAAATTTTGCTTCAGTTACGCTCCCCCTCCCCTCCTTTAAGCAAGGTATAAAAAGGAATCAAGCCCCTTCTTCGGTCCGAGAGATCTTGAGCGTGAGCTGCCTCTTGGTCACAGATAATAAAGGACTTTTTTTTTAAAAAAAGATGGGGTTTCACCATGATGGCCAGGCTGCTCTTGAACTCCTGACCTGGCCAACATGGCAAAACCTGTCTCTATTTAAAAATACAAAAAAAAGGGCCGGGCGCAGTGGCTCACGCCTGTAATCCCAGCACTTTGGGAGGCCGAGACGGGTGGATCATGAGGTCAACAGATCGAGACCATCCTGGTCAACGTGGTGAAACCCCGTCTCTACTAAAAATACAAAAAAACTAGCTGGGCATGGTGGCGTGTGCCTGTAATCCCAGCTACTCAGGAGGCTGAGGCAGGAGAATTGCCTGAACCCAGGAGGCGGAGGTTGCGGTGAGCCGAGATCGCGCCATTGCACTCCAGCCTGGGTAACAAGAGTGAAACTCCGTCTCAAAAAAAAAAAAAACAGAAAAAAAAGAAAGAAAAAAAAAGGAAAAAAAGGAAAAAAAAAGAAAAAAAAATACAAAAAAAAAAAAATAGGGTGGGTGTAGTGGCTAATGCCTGTAATCCCAGCACTTTGGCAGGACAAGGCAGGTGGATTACTTGAGGTCAGGAGATTGAGACCATCCTGGCCAACATGGTGAAACCCCATCTCTACTAAAAATACAAACAATTAGCCAGGCTTAGTGGCATGTGCCTGTAGTCCCAGCTACTTGGGAGGCTGAGGCAGGAGAATCACTTGAACCTGGGAGGCGGAGGTTGCAGTGAGCCGAGATCATGCCTGGGCGACAAGAGGCAAACTGTCTAAAAAAAAGAAAAAATTATGAGAGGTCATTGTTTTGGGTTGAGCTCCCGCACTAGGCCCCAACAGAAAAGGCCAAACTGAAATGGAGTTACTCATGCTAAATGCCACATAATCCAACTGAAACTTTAAGGAAGGTGACAGATCCCCCAAACAGACCAGTTTTTCCTGAAAACAGGAGATTCCAGTCAACCTGAGTCAGTGTAATATGGCTTCCCTTTGCTTTAACCCTTACAAAAAAGTCACATGAAGGAACTGATGTTAACCAATCAACTTTTTTCCTATTGGTCCGTTTCCTTGTCCAATGAGAGATCGTGATTCTATTCTGTAGAATGAAGGCTACACCAATTCATGAATTGCAAATAAAAGCCAATTAGATCTATATATGTTGTCATTTTGTCTTTTGACAGGGTGAAAGGTGACTAGGAGAAGCTCCACCTTGGTTTGTATATAAAAATATTATTCAGGCCGGGCGCAGTGGCTCACGCCTGTTATCCCAGCACTTTGGGAGGCCGAGGCAGGCAGATCACCTGAGATCGGGAGTTCGAGACCAGCCTCACCAACATAGTGAAACCCCACCTCTTCTAAAAATACAAAAATTAGCCAGGCATGGTGGCTCGTGCCTGTAACCCCAGCCACTAGGGGAGCTGAGGCGCAAGAATTGCTTGAACCCAGGAAGCAGAGGTTGCACTGAGCCGAGACACACCACTGCACTCCAGCCTGGGAGTGAGACTCCGCCTAAAAAAAAAAAAAAAAAAATCCAGCCACAGCAATTATTATCACACTGGATATTTACCGAAGCTTGCAGGAGGGAAAAACACCTGGGTCATGGGTTCACTGCTGGTTGGAAGCTGAGCCAAGAGCGAACCAGGTGTGCTGATACCCACGCCCCTGATTTCTAGAGAGTTCTGTGGCCTTCAGGGAATCCCAGGGGAGCAGGATAAGAAGAACGCCCAGTCTCTGAGTGTCCTGCTATCTATCAGCCGGCCTTGACAGAGGAGATCTCTCCCTCGCAGCTGGAATCAGCACCCAGGGCTCTGTCAAATATTATAGAAACATTTCCTCTTCTCTTTGTAAAACTAAAGTTATCTTTTCTTTTCTGATTGCAGAAGAAGTTATTGCTGTGGAATTGCAAGACAATCCTCATCCTCTGGCCTATCTGTCCTTTGTCCCCATGACTGAACTCCAACTTTTGCAAAAACACTTACTTTCATTTTATGTTTTATTTTAGAGACAGGCTCTTCTCTGCTGCCCAGGCTGGAGTGCAGTGGTGCAATCTCAGCTCACTGAAATCTTGACCTCCTGGGTCTCAAGAGATCCTCCCATCTCAACCTCCCGAGTAGCTGGGACTATAGGCACCCACCACCACACCCTGCTAATTTTTGTATTTCTTTTGTTTTGGAGAGATGAGTAGGTGATGGGTCTCCCTATGTTGCCCAGGCTTGTCTTGAACTCCTGGGCTCAAGTGATCCTACTGCCTTGGCCTCCCAAAGTGCTGGGATTACAGGTGTGAGCCACTGTGACAGGCCTGCAAAAACATTAAATTATAAAATTAATGTTTCTCTGCCAGTGCTTCATGGAATTCTAATATCAGCTCTGTGCAATCATATCCTGTTCTCTTTTCTGGAAACTAGTTCCTGAAGTTTCATTTCTTTCTTTTTAGATAGAGTCTTGCTCTGTCACCCAGGCTAGATGCAGTGGTGTGATCTCAACTCACTGTAATCTCCGTCTCCCAGGCTCAAGCGATTCTCCTGCCTCAGCCTCCTGAGTAGCTGGGATCACAAGCGTGTGCCACCACGCCTGACTAATTTTTGCATTTTTAGTAGAGATGGTGTTTCAGCATGTTGGCCAGGCTGCTCTCGAACTCCTGACCTCAGGTGATCTGCCTGCCTCAGCCTCCCAAAGTGCTGGGATTACAGGCATGAGCCACTGCGCCTGGCCAGAAAGTTTTGTGTCTATAACTGTTTGGGGGAAATATCATTTATTCCTTCAACAAATACTTACCTACCATATGACAGGGAATAGTCTAAAACTGTGGACATCATGGTAGCTAGACACACTGTCCTTTTCTAATGGAACTTACAGTGGAGGCAGACAAACAATTATGAGTGAACAAACAAAAAAGAATTTCAGCACGGCTTGCACAGCTTGGACATTTTTAAATGTCTTGTTTAAGGAACGCTTCACTGAGGAGGCATTTAAGCAAAGGCCAGAAGGAAGTTTCAGTCATGCTGAAATTCCTGTTTGTTTCCTTAAGAGCAGGTATTACCATCTGGCATGCTACATTTTTACTTATTTAATTACTGGCTGATTTTTTTCACCACTGTCTCCTCAGTGCCTGAACATGGTAGATGCTTAATGAATATTTACGGACTAATAATGCTTTGAAGAAAATAAGCAGGGCCAGGTGTGGTGGCTCATGCCTGTAATCCCAGCACTTTGGGAGGCCAAGGTGGGCGAATCACAAGGTCAGGAGTTCGAGACCATTCTGATCAACATGGTGAAACCCCCGTCTCCACTAAAAATACAAAAATTCGCTGGTCTTGGTGGCTTGTGCCTGTAATCTCAGCTACATGGGAGGCCAAGGCAGGAGAATTACTTGAACCCAGGAGGTGAAAGTTGCAATGAGCCGAGATCGCACCAGTGCACTTCAGCCTGGCGACAGAGCTAGACTTTGTCTCAAAAAAGAAAAGAAGCAGGGCCAAGTGTGATGGCTCCTGCTTGTAGTTCCAGCACTTTGGGAGGCTGAGGTGGGAGGATTGCTTGAGGCCAAGAGTTCGAGACCAGCCTGGGCAATATGGTGAAACCCTGCCTCTATAAAAAAAAGAAAGAGAGAGAGAAAGAAAATTATCCAGGTATGGTGTCATGCATCTGTAGTCTCAGCTACTCGTGAGGCTAAGGATCGATTGAGCCCAGGAGGTTGAGGCTGCCGTGAGCTGTGACTGTACCACTGCACTCCAGCCTGAGTGACAGAGCAAGACCCTATCTCTAAAAGAAAAACAACAACAATAGAAAAAAGAGAGAGAGAGAAGGCAAAAGACAGGAAAACAAAGCCAGGCAGCAGTTAAAGTCATAAGGACAGATCTTACTCTGTAATATACTGTTGCAATAGGGACTGTCCAGCGTGTACTGAACTCAACTTCTATTTGTACAGAGAATCAGGGAAAGCTGAAGAGCAGGGGCTCAGTAAAGACAAGGTGGTGAAAAATTACAAAACGGGGCGGGGCCGGCCCACGTGAAACCCGTCTGGGCTTGCTAACTCGTGTTTACCAGCAGCGACATTGGGTTCTTACTCTCTCACGGGGGCTGGGAGATGGGCCCTATCGTCAGGTGTTGTTTTTTGAGACAGAGTTTCACTCGTTGCTCAGGCTGGAGTGCAGTGACGCAATCTTGGCTCACTGCAACTTCCACCTTCCGGTTTCAAGTGATTCTCCTGCCTCAGCCTCCCGAGTAGTTGGGATTACAGGCTCGTGCCACCATGCCTGGCTAATTTTTTTTTTTTTTTAGTAGAGACAGGGTTTTGCCATGTTGGCCAGGCTAGTCTCAAACTCCTGATGTCAGTCGATTCGCCTGCCTCGGCCTCCCAAAGTGCTGAGATTACAGGCAGGAGCCACTGTGCCCAGCCTTATACCTTCTATTAAACAAGTCCCAGGCCAGGCATGGTGGGTCATGTCTGTAATCCCAGCACTTTGGGAGGCCGAGTTGGGAGGATCACTGGCGGTCAGGAGTGACCTACTCGCAAACAATATTTGCAAATCATGCCAAGTTAAAGGACATGGTCAACTTAACAAATGCCTCTATAAACTTCCCTCCAAAACCCAGCCAAATTTCTCCTGGCAGAAAGCCATATCAGACACAGAAAAAGGCACACGTACTCTGATTGTCCTCCCAGCTCTGTCAGCAACCTCCCTCGGTGGACATAGAAAGAAACTGAAGCTCAAAAGCAAAATAACCCACACAGCTGTCTTCCGGCACACCCAGAGCTGCAGCCCCTAGGCCAGGTCAGAGACTCTGTCTTGCAGGAAGTCCCCTTGGACTCTCCTCATAAGAATGACTCTTGGCCGGGCGCAGTGGCTCAAGCCTGTAATCCCAGCACTTTGGGAGGCCGAGGCGGGTGGATCACAAGGTCAAGAGATCGAGACCATCCTGGTCAACATGGTGAAACCCCGTCTCTACTAAAAATACAAAAAATTAGCTGGGCATGGTGGCGCGTGCCTGTAATCCCAGCTACTCAGAAGGCTGAGGCAGGAGAATTGCTTGAACCCAGGAGGCGGAGGTTGCGGTGAGCCGGGATCGCGCCATTGCACTCCAGCCTGGGTAACAAGAGCGAAACTCCGTCTCAAAAAAAAAAAAAAAAAAAGAGAGAATGACTCTCTCCTTACCCAGAGTTTATACCCTTGCGCCTCTTGCTCCAGTCCCACCTATTTTAAGGTAGTTTGTGTCTATATCTGCTTCCACTTTGTTTTGTTTGAGAGAGGGTCTTGCTTTGCTGCCCAGGCTGGAGTGCAGGGGCGCGATCTCACCTCCACCTCCCGGGTTCAAGTGATTCTCCTGCCTCAGCCTCCTGAGTAACTGGGACTACAGGAATGCGCCACCACACCGGGCTAACTTTTTTGTATTTTTAGGAGAGACAGGGTTTCTCCAAGTTGGTCAGACTGGTCTCAAACTCCCAACCTCAGGTGATCCACCTGCCTCGGCTTCCCAAAGTGTTGGGATTACAGGCGTGAGCCACCGCGCCTGACCTTAATTTTTTATTTTTAGTAGAGACAGAGTTCTACCATGTTGGCCAGGCTGGCCTCGAACTCCTGACCTCAGGTGATCCACCCACCTCTACCTCCCAAAGTGCTGGGATTACAGGAATGAGCCACCACACCTCGCCATTTTTGTTGTTGTTGTTTTGGAGACAGAGTCTCGATCTGTGGCCCATGCGGGAGTGCAGTGGCACAATCTCAGCTCACTGCAACTTCTGCCTCCCAGGTTCAAGCGATTCTCCAGCCTCAGCCTCCCGAGTAGCTGGGATTATAGACATCTCCCACCACATCCCACTCATTTTTGTATTTTTAGTAGAGCTGGGGTTTCACCATGTTGGCCCAGTTGGTCTTGAATTCCTGACGTTAAGTGATGCTTGCCTCAGCCTCCCAAAGTGCTGGGATTACACATGTAAACCACTGGGCCCGGACGTGCCCTCAATTCATTCCCTTGTTCATCCATTCATTATAGGCAGTATGGACTAGTGGTGAAGCATGTGGACACTTGAGCCAGACTGCTTTTGTTCAAATTTCAGTTTGGGCTGTGAGTCGTGGCTCATGCATGTAATCCCAGCACTTTGGGAGGCCAAGGCAGGCAGATCACCTGAAGTCAGGAGTTCAAGACCAGCGTAGCCAAAATGGCAAAACCCTATCACTACTGAAAAAAATACAAAAATTAGCTGGCCATAGTGCCGGGCACCTGTAATCCCAGCTACTCAGGAGGTTGAGGCGGGGAGAATTTCTTGAACCTGGAAGGCAGAGGTTGCAGTGAGCTGAGACCATGCCACTGAATTCCAGTCTGGGTGACTGAGACTCCATTTCAAAAAAAAGAAAGTTGGCCGGGTGCAGTGGCTCACACCTGTAATCCCAGCACTTTGGGAGGTCAAGGTGGGCAGATCACAAGGTCAGGAGTTCAAGACCAGCCTGGCCAACATGGCAAAACCCCATCTTTACTAAAAATACAAAAATTAGGTGGATATGGTGGTGGGTGCCTGCAATCCTGGCTACTTGGGAGGCTGAGGCAGGAGAATTGCTTGAACCTGGGAGGCAGAGGTTGCAGTGAACCAAGATCATGCCACTGCACTCCAGCCTGGATGACAAAGCAAAACTTATTCTCAAAAAAAAAAAAGAAAAGATTCATTCTGGGCCAGGCATAGTGGCTCACGCTGGTAATCCCAGCACTTTGGGAGGCTGAAGAGGACAGATCAATTGAACCCAGGGGTTCAAGAGCAGCCTGGGCAACAGTGAGACCCATCTCTATTAAAAAACAATTAAGCTCTTCCGGTCCTAGGCGCTTCAGGAAGCGCGGCTTAGGTGCAGACGTGGCCAAGTCCAAGAACCACACCACACACAACCAGTCCCGAAAATGGCACAGAAATGGTATCAAGAAACCCCGATCACAAAGATACGAATCTCTGAAGCGGGTGGACCCCAAGTTCCTGAGGAACATGCGCTTTGCCAAAAAGCACAAGAAGGGCCTAAAGAAGATGCGGGCCAACAGTGCCAAGGCCATGTGTGCACGTGCCGAGGCCATCACGGCCCTCGTAAAGCCCAAGGAGGTTAAGCCCAAGATTCCAAAGGGGGGTGTCAGCCGAAAGCTCCATCGACTTGCCTACATTGCCCACTCCAAGCTTGGGAAGCGTGCTCGTGCTCGCATTGCCAAGGGGCTCAGGCTCTGCCGGCCAAAGGCCAAGGCCAAGGCCAAGGATCAAAACAAGGCCCAGGCTGCACCTCCAGCTTCAGTTCCAGCTCAGTCTCCTAAAGGTGCCCAGGGGTCTACAAAGGCTTCAGAGTAGATATCTCTGCCAATATGAGGACAGAAGGATGGGTGTGACCCCCCGGGGCTGCCATCTGCATGGGGCTGGGGTCCTCCTGTGCTAATTGTACAAATAAACCTGAGGGAGGATTTTTTAAAAAAAAATTAAGTCTGTCACTGTTGTTTAATCTCAGTTTCTTCATCTGCAAAATGGATTGTTTGAGCATCCTCCTGTTATCCATGGGGCACACGTTCTAAGACCCCCAGTGGTTGACCCCTATATATACTGTTTTCTCCTATACATATATACCCATGGGAATTGGTTTTCTTTGTTTGTTGGTTTGTTTGAAATGGAGCCTTGGGAGTGAAAGCGCAAAGAATGAGAGGACGCCATACCTTCACATGAATTCTTGTTGCTCACGCACCAGGAGATTCCCAGCGGAGGAGCCCCACGGGTCGCCAGCGCGACTCTTGTGACCGGTGAGGCAGTTTTGCCGGCGCCTTGGAGCGGCAGGTCTTGGTGCAGTCAGAAAAGCACCATCAATCTTAACGCCGCTGATTTAGTCGGTGCAGTGGGTTGCTCAGATTTCGGCGCTGAGAATCAGTAAGTCGGACGTCCACTCAGAAACCCAATTACAAAGACGGTAAATACAAAGACCACAGATGGATAAATTTATAACGAAGGGAAGAAAACAGCCAAAAAAGGCTGAGAATACCCAAGATCAGAACGCCTCTCCCTCAGCGGGGGATCACAGTTCCTCATCAGCAACGGAACAAGGCCTGATGGAGCACGAGTGTGTTTCAATTACAGGAGCAGGCTTCAAAATGTGGATAATGAGAAACTTCTGTGAATTAAAAGAACTTGTTTTAACCCAATCTAAAGTAACTAAGAACTTTGAAAAAAGATTTGACGAAATGTTAACAAGAATACACAATTTAGAGAGGAATATAAGTGAATTGATGGAGCTGAAAAACACAATACGAGAACTTCGTGAAGTATGCACAAGTTTTAACAGCCAAATTGATCAAGCAGAAGAAAGGATATCAGAGGTCGAAGACCAACTCAATGAAATAAAACAAGAAGACAAGATTAGAGAAAAAAGGATAAAAAGGAACGAGCAAAGTCTCCAAGAAATATGGGACTATGTGAAAAGACCTAATCTACGCTTGATAGGTGTACCTGAATGTGACGAAGAGAATGAATCCAAGCTGGAAAATACGCTTCAGGATATTATTCAGGAAAATTTTCCCAACCTAGTAAGGCAGGATAATATTCAACTCCAGGTAATACAGAGAACACCACAAAGATATTCCTCAAGAAGAGCAACTCCAAGGCACATAATCGTCAGATTTACCAGGGTTGAAATGAAGGAGAAAATACTAAGGGCAGTCAGAGAGAAAGGTCAGGTTACCCACAAAGGGAAGCCTATCAGACTTACAGCAGATCTCTCAGCAGAAACCCTACAAGCCAGAAGAGAGTGGGGACCGATATTCAACATCCTTAAAGAAAAGAACTTTCAACCAAGAATTTCACATCCAGCCAAACTAAGCTTCACAAGTGAAGGAAAAATAAAGTTTTTTGTGAATAAGCAAGCACTCAGAGATTTCATCACCACCAGGCCTGCTTTACAAGAGCTTCTGAAAGAATCACTACACATAGAAAGGAACAACCAGTATCAGCCTTTCTAAAAAAATTATCAAAAAGAGCATCAATATAATGAAGAATTTACATCGACTAATGGGCAAAATAGCCAGCTAATATTAAATGGCAGTATTAAACTCACATATATTATTATTAATTCTAAATTTAAATTGACTAAATCCCCCAATCCAAAGACAGACAGGCAATTTGAATAAAAAACTAAAACCCATCAGTATGCTGCATCCAGACCCATCTCACATTCAAGGATACACAAAGACTCAAAACAAGGGATGGAGAGGGATTTACCAACCAACCAGAGAGCTAAAATAAATAAATAAAAAGCAGAAGTTACAATTAAGCAACAAAGATCAAAAGAAGCAAAGAAGGACATTATATAATGATAAAAGGATCAATGCAACAACAAGAAGAGCTGAAGATCCTAAATATATACGCACCCAATATAGGAATACGCAGACATACAAGACTTATAAAGAGACTTAGACTCCCACATAATAATAGTGGGAGACTTCAACATTAATATTAGACAAATCAGTGAGACAGAAAATTAACAACGATATCCAGGACTTGAACTCAGATCTGGAACAAATAAATGTAATTAACATTTATAGAACTCTCCACTTTAAATATACAAGATATACACTCTTATCAGTACCACATCATATCAACTTAGACGTTTAAACGAAATCTTGGTTGGCTCCTTGTTTGTTATTCTCTTCCCTCATTTTCTTTCATGTCTCCATTATTAAGGACAATTATAGGCATACCCATATTTAGATTGCATTCTAGCCCGGGCAATAAAGCAATACCCCCATCGTCTCTCCCTCTTCCTCTTTCTCTTTCTTCCTCTTCTTTATTCTTTTTCTTATAAAAAAAAAAGAAAGAAAGAAAGAAAAAGAAATGGAGCCTTGCTCTGTCACCCAAGAGGGAGTGCTCACTGCAACCTCCACCACCCAGATTCAAATGATTCTCCTGCCTCAGCTTCCCAAGTAGTGATTACAGGCGTCCTGCACCACTCCCCGCTGATTTTTGTATTTTTTTTTTTTAATAGACAAGAGTCTCACTCTGTCACCAGGTGCCAGGCTGGAGTGCAGTAGCTCGAGCTCAGCTCACTGCAACCTTCACCTCCCTGTTTCAAACAATGCTCCTGCCTCAACCCCCCAAGTAGCTGGGGCTACAGGCACACACCACCATGCCCAGCTAATTTTTGTATTTTTTAGTAGAGACGGGGTTTCACTGTATTGGCCAGGATGGTCTCGATCTCTTAACCTTGTGATCCACCTGCCTCAGCCTCCCAGAGTGCTGGGATTACAGGCGTAAGCCTCCGCACCCGGCCAATTTTTGTATTTTTAGCAGAGATGAGGTTTCGCCATATTGGCCAGGCTAGTCTTAAACTCCTGAACTCAGGTGATCCATCCACCTCGGCCTCCCAAAGTGTTGGGATTACAGGTGAGAGCCACTGTGCCAGGCCCCATGGGAAAATCTGATGTATAAATTACATACAGTAAGAGATTAACAACAATAAGTAATAATAAAATAGAATAATTATAACAATATACTGTAATAAAAGTTATGTAAATGTAGTTTCTCTCTCTCTTTCAAAATATCTTACTGTAATATATTCTCCTATTTTTTCTTAGCTTAGCCTTGACTTGAAACTCATGGAATCACCTATTTTGAGACCACAGTTGACCAGGAGTAACTGAAGAGAATGAAACCTCGGAGGCAGGGGCTACTGTGTTTAAGTTTTGCATGGAAAACCACTAGAACAGTGTCTCGCATACAGGGGAGGCTCAGTAAATGCTGGCTGCCACACCAGGCAGAGATGTATAGTAGTTAAGAAAGCTGGCCAGGTGCAGTGGCTCATGCCTGTAATCCCAGCACTTTGGGAGGCCGAGGCAAGTGGATCACGAGGTCAGGAGTTTAAGACCAGCCTGGCCAACATGGTGAAACCCCCGTCTCTACTAAAAATACAAAAATTAGCCAGGTATGGTGGCACATGCCTGTAATCCAAGCTACTAAGGAGGCTGAGGCAGGAGAATCACTTGAACCCGGAAGGCAGAGATTGCAGTGAGCTGAGATCACACCACTGTACTCCAGCTTGGACCGGACTGCCTGGGGTTGAAATCTAGCTCTGTGGCCCCGGAAGGTCACTTAACCTCTCTGAGCCTGTTTCATCTTTTGAATAAAATGAATATAACCAGCCCCAGCCCTGGCTTCAGCCTCAGGAAACAATAAAATAATAAATAAAATAAAATACAATCTAAAATAAGATAAAATAAAATTAATAAAATATTAAAAAACATGAACAGTAATATTGCATATAAGTAAAACATGCAATAACCTAGATAATAGCTAACCTATTTTGAGGATTTTATTTATTATTTATTTATTTTTATTTTATTTATTTTTTTTTGAGACGGAGTTTCACTCTTGTTATCCAGGCTGGAGTGCAATGGCGTGATCTCGGCTCACCGCAATCTCCATCTCCTGGGTTCAAGCAATTCTCCTGCCTCAGCCTCCCAAGTAGCTGGGACTACAGGCGTGCACCACCATGCCCAGCTAATTTTTGTATTTTTAGTAGAGACAGGGTTTCACCATGTTGACCAGGATGGTCTCGATCTCTTGACCTCGTGATCCACCCTCCTCGGCCTCCCAAAGTGCCGGGATTACAGGCTTGAGCCACCGCGCCCGGCTATTTATTTATTTTTGAGACAGAGTTTCACTCTGTCACCCTGGCTAGAGTGCAATGGCACAATCTCAGCTCACAACAACCTCCACCTTCCGGGTTCAAGCAATTCTGCCTCAGCCTCCTGAGTAGCTGGGACTACAGGTGCACGCCACCATGGCCAGCTAATTTTTTTTTTTTTTTTTTTTTTTTTTTGTGTGTATTTTTAGTAGAGACAAGGTTTCACCATGTTTACCAGGATGGTCTCAATCTCCTGACCTCATGATCCACCCGCCTGAACCTCCCAAAGTGCTGGGATTATAGGCGTGAGCCACCGCGCCCGGCCCCTAGTTGGATTTTTAACATTAGAAAATTAATTTAGAAGAGTAGATCAAAATGGGGGAGAATATCTAGTACACGTGATAGAAAACAATCTAACTAGCTTAACAAAAAATCAAGGTTGACTCATGAAAATGAACATTTCGGAAGTAACTGCTTCAGAAATGGTTGGATCTAGGAGCTCAAAGTAAATAACGATCAAGATTCTTGCCGCTTAAGCCCCAAAGGTTAAGGCTGCAGTGAGCTATGATTGTGCCACTGCCCTCCAGCCTGGGTAACAGAGGAAAACACTGTCTGAGAAAAAAAAAAAAAAATTCTTGCCAGGCGCAGTGGCTCGCACCTGTAATCCCAGCACTTTGGGAGGCCAAGGTGG